CCAAAACCCCAAAACCCCAAAACCCCAAAACCCCAATTATATTTTAACAATTGAACATTCTTAAACAACATGGAAAATATTTATGCTCCTTTCTACTCAGAAGCAGCACTGAAGTAAGCCCTCATGATAGAGTTGCAGAGTCCTTTCTTTGTGTGAAGATTAATGGATAAATTCTGACTGTTTAGGTACTATCAGTCCAGACCTACTCATTCAAATGTGGGGTCTAATAACTCAAGGTTCTCAAGTAAACTGAACTTCTATGGATCTTCAGCAATTGATAGTAAGTATTCTAGTGCTAACCTTTGCCTTGTTAAATAAAAAGTTGATTTTTCCTTGCCATCAATAAATTTATACATCAGTCTTTTCAAAGGTTATGAAAAATAGGCTTTTCAAAGGGGAGTTTCAGCTTAAATGATAGAATAGAGAGCAGCTCTGATATCAGCAACGGTACTTACTTAATCCTTATTCTTCAGGCACCACTAAGTCTAAGCTCTTACTCTAAAATTCAAAGAATTCCAAAAGAACAAAGGAAAATTAAATTTCTTGTTCAGAAATACGATGAAAAATAAAAAGTATATGAAGTCAAGAAATAATCTATGTAAGAAGTAGTTTCACTTGTTTAGCATCAAGTAACTCTATCGAGCCAAGTACTGTCAAGAGTGAACTATGCAGCCAAAATCGCATACCAACTAATCTTGATAATAGCTACAATGCCATTCCTAATAAAAGGAAGAAGCCTTCAGGACATTTGAACCATTCTCAGGATTTATATTTATCTGAGAAGTTTTATAGAACTCCTTGAGAGCAATCCTCTCTCAAATTTCAGGTTCTAAAGAAGGATCAGATCTCTAAGATTCTTCGCAAAGCGAAGAATCTTCAGAAATCTACTGCTACAAAATCAGTTGAAATTATTAGGAGGATGAGGAAAAGGTCTCAAAACTCAAAGAGTATTATTCCTGATTCCAAGTATGTCATGCTTGGCGGGATCGGCCCAAGCGTGTACTCGAACGAGTATCATGATAAGCTCAAACGAAAGAAAATTATGATGAAATTTAGTGAAAAGATAAAATAAAATCCATAATAAAAGATATAATGATGAAAGGACAACAGGTTCAAATCGGCATTTTGCAAAACCGTTTTTGGCTAACAATGGTATTATAAAGCATTATTTGTAGGGAAAATTAGTGTCAGCTTAAAGCCAATTATGCATAAGAAAAACAAGAGTGAGGTAACCTTGGGTGAGGAGAAAAGAAAGAAGATTGTAGGATTTTCTAGACAACTCGAGACAAAATCCTAGCACCTACCATTTTTTAAATTCAATCATTAATAGCCAAAATGGGGTTTTGGGGTTTTGGGGTTTTGGGGTTTTGGGGTTTTGGGG